TGGCCTCGAAATATTAAAAAAATCTTCAAATTTACGAATATATTTTAGCGAATATATTTATGTATAATATATATTAACGAATATATTTAAACAGCGAATTTTTACACGTTTCTTCGTGACCAGTGTACTCGTTAAAAGCGGCTAACTGATACAAAAAGAAATGATTTCGCGTTGTTCAAAGATTGCGTGATTAGGATCCAGTGAAAAATATTGAGATTAATTATCTTATATCGTTAAGACAGAATTCGTAATTTAGAACTTCGCGGTGTCTCAGTCGTACGACGAACAAGGTTACAGACTGAAGAGGCTTGGTGCGGAGTTCCTGTGATTTTTCAACCGTTAATTACCGAAGACGGTTCACAGAGCTCGCAATTACCGCGAGAAATCGCATTTAATAGGACTGGGTGCGCTATTTGACGGAGTCTGATGTTACTTCGGGCGCGAGCGAGTCAATTTACGTCTGTTATACGCGATGGCTCGGTGCCACCCGTCATCGACGCGTGTGATCCGCCATTGCCTCACGCCTCTGATCGATTCGTCGACTCCACTCAACGATCATCCTGTACCTTGTGTTCCGTTACAAGAGAAGCGAACAGCACCGTAGGAGAATGATCATTCGACGAATAATCTTCACGGCTGGCACAATATTGAAGTGTGCTCTTTATTGGACGACGACTCCGGAGAACTTCCGGCCGTTCGTCATCAATCCAGAACGCGATAAACCTTCATTGAAAGCCGGCTATAAAACGGCTGCCCGTACTTCACAGGGTTAATCCTACGGGAATCTAGATTACACGGGACTTTATCGGGAGCCGGTGCACCGGTTTCAATGGAACCTAACGCTGTCCTATAAGCACTGTCGTTTCCGAGATTAATTGTCAGTCCAGCAACGGCGGACGGTTAACGATCTACGATACAGATAATTAGACTGGCGATTTTACGGCATAAATGACGCCGGAATTTCCTCGGGATTAATATCATTTTAGCCCATTTTTTTTAACCTTTTAGGCACGACGCGCCACTATAGTGGCTTTCGCAGATGTCATCTCTCTGGACGAAGCGCCACTATAGTGGCTTGCTCTAGTAGCTCACTCGCTCATCGTTTGAACCAAATAATCGTCTTCATATGCATTGTTTCACACTTCTTTTGTCTTCACATCGATTTACAACAGCCTACAGGGTATCCCAAAAATGTCTCGCAATCCGGAAATGGGAGGTTCCTGAGGTCATTTGAAGCAACTTTTTCCTTTGCGAAAATGTTCTCCGAGGCACCGTTAACGAGTTATTAACGAAAAGCTCTGACCAATAAGAGACGAGCTCGGCTGGGGCGCGGCGGCCCAGCCAACGACTGCACGAAGCCCAGTTCCGCTCATTGACTCGATCGCCTCGCGCCAGCCGAGCTCGCCTCTCATTGGTCACTGTTTTTCGTTAATAACTCGTTAACAGTGCCTCGGAAGACATTTTTGTAAAGGAAAATGTTGCTTCAAATGGCCTGAGGAACCCGCCACTTTCGGATTGCGAAACATTTTTGGGACACCCTGTATATACAGTATCAGACTCTGTACAGTACACATCAGACTCTGCCGTCCAGAGAAATAGCCTCGCGCAGAATTCAGCCGTGCCTAAAAGGTTAAATGCGACGAAGATTCATCAGGATCTCTGACATGCATGGTACAACTGCAGTGGACCAATCCGACTCGTAAAATGTACGCGGAAATAAAAGTCATTTTCAAATGTTTTGCATAAGTGGAACCAAGAATGGATTCATTGAAATTTCTCATCCATACAAGATCTCAGAGTGGAAATATTCTTTACGAATCCTCGCTGTACTTTTAATAAAAAAGAAAAAAGAAATCGTACCAACTCGACTAACAATAGGATATATTAAAATGTACTTGCTGACAAAAACTGTAAATAAATAAATAAATAAATAAAATCAGTTTCGTTAAAAGTTAAATAATTATACATTTAAGGATACGATGCAGTTTCAGTTCAAGTATGTAATGGTTTACGAATGGTATTTAGTTTAAATAACGATGTAACAAAAGCATCAGATTTCGTAGCTACATTTTGGATCAAAGAGATCCAATTTACACGTACAATGTTTAACACTAAACCTACCGCGGTCAAAGTGACCGCTTTTTTATTTTGCAATTCTGCGAAGTTCCGAGACTCTTTCGTGGAAAACGCTTGAATAAATTCGGTCTTCTCACTTTTGTGAAGCAGTACATGCCAGTTAGTATTACTGCTTCGTAGGTTTAGTGTTAATTACTGAAGCAATTATATATTTTGTTTCGAGACAAAACCAAGTACAGTAAATTCTCCCTAACTTGATTGTGCATTTTCATGTACAATCTGAGCGTCAATCAGGGATAGAGCGTCAATTACTATACACGAACCAGAAAACGATGTGAACCTAAGAAAAGTTCGAGAACAGTGTTTCGTTATTTCGATAGCATAAAAATGCTTATCTCAATGAAATTGATTTCTTTTGCATAAATATCCGTCGTGATGAAATAAAGTATAAGAACCGCCAAGAAGTTCGTTCGACAGCGTACAATTGGTCGGCGGAGTTCCGTTAACTGTAATTGCGTTGGTCAACTAACTCGGTCGAATTTGTTGCATACAGGCTGCATCATATTCGGCTCGGATCAAGAAGTTGCCGGAGTTATGAGGGCCGTTAGGCGTTGCAATGCAACCGGCGCATTCTCGTGGATCGGCAGCGATGGCTGGAGCGCCAGGGGGTTAGTCAGTAATGGTAACGAGCCGGAAGTCGAAGGTACCCTATCGGTTCAACCTCAAGCCAATCCTGTCAGGGGGTTCGAGGAGTACTTCCTGAATCTGACCGTCGAGAACAACCGAAGGAATCCGTGGTTTGTCGGTGAGCGAATGACTGAAACACGCGAGCTTCATTAAACTTTAGATAGCTCTAACTTCGGAAGCGGCCGCGGTCGTGCGTCTAAAGGGCCGACATGTCGCTAAACTTAACACCCACTTTATCCCGCGCTTCCTCGCGGCCGGTATCGCCTCGTGAACGCAACAGCTTTTCACGACTTTCACGAACACCCCGGGACACCGTAATCTACGGCGTCCAATTGCGGGAATTATGATGCTCTCGTCAAAGTTGCGCGAACACCTCGAGAACACCGCAGCCTCCGCGAACGCGCGGGATGAAACTGTTTGTAGAGACAGATCTTTTCGTAGACAAAAATGGATTTTTCAAGCAACAGTTGGAAAATAGTTCTTCGGTTTGGTGCTATTTAGTATTTAATATTCGAGTCTGAGTCTGTAAAATGAGTGATAAGTGATTGAGAGAGTACTCTGCATCATAAATCTTAACATTTCGATCGTTGTTTCATTAAATAAATTGTGGAAGCTGAGCTAGTTACGTGCAAATCTTTGAGAAGTCATGGTTTTTTGCGACGTGAAAATAGGAAAATTTTTATGACGTGAAATGAATCATCTGTTCATGCATTATTATAATATAATGCATTCTACTCTCACAGGAACAGATGATTTCTATTGTAATAAAAATATGATTTCTATTGTAATAAAAATATGATTTCTATCACAATAGAATGCGCAAATCGTGCCCTTTTCTTTTGTATTTAGATCAACTTTCACTATCTGACTATGTTCTTGCAAAGTAAAATTGATTTGCGTTTACAAAGTCGCTAGCAACAAATATTAAATATAGACTAGTTACATTTTGAAAATTCAGATTAACAGCGAGCGAGATCGACAGCTAACTGAGTCTCACAAATCTTTCGAAACAATTTTATTCAAATGAAACTAAAGAATGCTGAATCCAAAGCGATTTGTGCGTTGAGCAACTATCATTACAGTCTCTTAACAAATAATTTTAGAATTCTGGGAAGACCACTTTAAATGCAAATATCCAAACTCATCGAAAACACCGTACAACCAGAAATACACAGAAGTCTGCACAACGAAGGAGCGTTTAACGAAACAGAACACTGCGTTCGAGGACCAGCTGCAGTTCGTATCTGATGCAGTCATGGCGTTCGTCTATGCGTTCAAGTAACAAGCTATAATCTAAAAGTTCATAGACTTTCTTTTGTTTCCTAGTATGCGTTTCATTTTTGATGCATCTTATTTGGATGCATTTTATTTGTATTTATTTTATTTGGATGCATCTCATTTGGATTCATTTGATTTGAATGAATTTTATTTTGATGCATCTTATTCGAATACATTTTATTTGGATGCATCTCATTTGAATTCATTTTATTTGGATGCATCTCATTTGAATTCATTTTATTTGAATGCATTTTATTTTGATGCATCTTATTCGAATATATTTTTTTGGTTTAATTCTATTTGGATACGTTTTATTCGAATTCATTTTAATTGGATGCATCTTATTTGGATTCATTTTACTTGGATGCATCTTATTTTGATGCATCCTTATTTGAATACATTTTATTTGGATTAATTTCATTTGAATGCATTTTATTTTGATGCATCTTATTCGAATACATTTTATTTGGTTTAATTCTATTTGGATACATTTTATTCGAATTAATTTTAATTGGATGCATCTTATTTGAATTCATTTTACTTGGATGCATCTTATTTTGATGCATCTTATTTGAATACATTTTATTTGGATTAATTTCATTTGAATGCATTTTACTCGAATTCATTTTATTTAGATGCATTTTACAGATAAGAAGAGCATGACAGGCATACCAATCTTCCCTTCAATTTCAGAGCCATGCACGAGGATCTTTGCTTCGGGAAGCCAGGATTATGCGATGCCATGAAGCCTACCAAGGGAACCGAACTGCTCAAGTATCTTCACAAAGTGGATTTCGAAGGTGATGCATTTAAGATCGAGCTGTCTCTGTCGAAACAGAGAACTATTATTATTGAAAGTCCATGAAAGCTAAATACATTTAATAATTCAATTCAAAATTCAAATACTTAAAACAATATTAGAAATTCTCAGCAAGATTCTTCGATAAATATAAATATCTCTAGCCCTTCGCAGTTTCACACTGAGCATCCTCATTGTATCTCTGCCTTCGATCCACTATAATTAACAATTGCTCGAATAATTAAAGTTTGCTTGACATCGAAATCCATTTATTCTAATTACACGTACGAAATCGTCGGTTGAAATCGTACATTGAAACCTCCTTACAGACGTTTGAACGTATAGATCTATAAAATATATTGAACCGATTGTCCTAAAGAAATGAACGAGACTGCTATTAATGCAGCAATCCTATCCGTAAGAAAACTAAATTTTTCCCTGACACGAGGGGGTTCTACTCCCGAAAGATGAATATGCACGGAGAGATCAGCGCGCCGATTAGAATCTACAAGAACGTCGCGCGTTCTACCGCGTTATGACCAAGTATTCGAACAGAGCCATCGATCGTGAGCGGGGAAGAAAAGATTTCCGACAATCCAATAGCCACTTCATTTATTCTTGGAGACTTTCCAATTTAATCCGAGCTGGCCGAGAAACAAAGGGAGACGGCGAAGGGCTATAGATGATAAGAGTACGTTTCTCCGGGTGTGCATTTCAAGCTATGCTTCAAGGTTTGAGCGGCGACAAGTTCAAATTCGACAAGAACGGGGACGGCCCTGCCAGATACAACATCATCCACTTCAAGCAGACAGAGCCGGGCAAATACAAATGGGTCCGGGTCGGCAAATATCTCGAGGGCGAGTTACGACTGAACATGTCCGGTGAGCTCAAACTAGCCATCATCCCCCTTCCGTCACTGTCTCTTACCAACCCGATATTTTTTCCCCCTCTTTGTTAGCCGGTGGCCTCGCCCCGGAATCGAATTCACGGCCCCTGTTTGCTAGCTACTTGAATATTCCTTGCAGAAATCCAATTTAAACTTGGACACCCCCAACCGCCCGAAAGCGTGTGCTCGCTACCCTGTGAAGTCGGCCAGGCAAAGAAGTACGTGGAGGGCGAGAGATGCTGCTGGCACTGCTTCAACTGTACCCAATATCAGGTTCGTGATCGTTCCACTTAGCTTACCCGAAATATTTCTCACCGGGCCGACCCGACCGTGAAAAATCATTCGGGTCTCGACGGAGAAGGGCCGGCCCTCTCTTATGATGAATCGTAGCTGGACAATAGAACGGGTGAGTCTCCGGAGAAGGATCGCACAAGTATACCCGGCACGTTCCAGGCAACTGGGAAATAGGTATTCTGCAAGGAAGTTAATTCATTGAAGAAATTGCAGAAGCCTGGAAATTTGTTGATATTCAAACTGGTGTAATTTTGTGAAAGTAAATCCGATTGCGATCTACCTTGTTTGGATTTGCCTTTTCTCATTTGATGATGGAACAAAGTTGCAAAGCCTCAAAAAGTTAATAGACTGATCAATCTAATGTAACTTTGTGTGAAAACAAATCTGACAACAATCTACGTAAATCCATTTTAAAGAGTGAAATGTCTGCTTTAAATCCAGTACATTGTTATTTTTTCTTTGTTCGATGCTGCAAGAAAATATCACTGTACAAAACAGTTAACACACTCATGATTAAAAAGATCGCTAACTCGTGGGTGCAAATTTGTTGATATTCAATCTGGTGTAACTTTGTGAAAAAAAATCTGACAGTAATCCATCTGAATTAATTTTGAAGAGTGAAATATCTACTTTAAATGCATTACACTGTTATTTTTTCTTTGTTCGATGCTGCAAGAAAATATTACTGTACAAAACGGTTAACACACGATTAAAAAGATCGCTAACTCGTGGGTGCAAATTTGTTGATACTTAATCTGGTGTAACTTTGTGAAAAAAAATCTGACAGTAATCTACCTAGGCACATTTTGAAAGGCGAAATGTCTACTGTGTCTTCCCGGAATTGTTTCCGACGTCGTTTTCATAATTTGATGTAGTAAAAAGCGTATCTAATAAAGATGATCTCCTCCATCAAAACTTCTGCTTTCAGCGTCTCTACATAATCCAAACAATTTTCTTCGCGACTATAACCAACAAGAACTTACAACTTGAAGTCTCCTCTTTACAACGAGATAAAATTTGATCTAAGATTTTTCAGTTCTGTTTTATTACACTTATTAAATCGTCCTCCTAGCTTACTCGGCTTCTCAAGAAAATTAATTCGCAGGATGCACGGGCACACCCGGGCATCCCAACTTCCTTTGTCCTCCTTTTTATTCTTTTCGACTAAGCGTACCTGCCTCGAGAATGTCTTGTCCGAGGCAACGGAAGTGGCTTTGATCCGTCGCGGCGTATTTCCGAAACTTTCCTCTGTGAACGTTTCTGCCCTCGGGTACGAGTAGAGTACGTTGTTTTCCGGTCGAGCCAAACTCTCGATCAAATTTGATTGTTCGTTAAACAGATACGAAAATCGGATGACGAGACACAGTGCATCCCCTGCCGGCAAGGCACCGTGCCCGACGAAACGCATTCCACTTGCCGGGACATCCCTGAGGAGTTCCTGAGACCTGAGAGCGGATGGGCGATTGGCGCCATGTCCTTCTCTGCCTCTGGGATTCTGGTAAATACATTCTTTGTGTTCCAACGAAAACATCGTGGTATCTCTGTGGCCGGCGGCAAATTTCAATGGAATTTCAAATTGGCCTTGAGAAATGCAACCCAAGTGATTCTATATTTCATATTCATTTTGCTCGGAATGCTGCAAACAGCTCAGTATTTCAGTCTCAGTACATAATCTCAATTCTTGTTGAATTGATACATTTTGAGATCAACAAAATTGATTCAGTATGACATATTCATTTTTAAGTATTTTTATTAAATAATTAAATAAATTATTTTATTTATTTCATTTTTATTTTTGTTTATTATTATTTGATTTATATAACTAAATTAATTATTTATTTAAATAATTGGCAGCATCAATAACTGTTTGAATCATAGATTTGGACATCGTTTTTAACAGACTCATTTTTGTTATAAACTTATACAATCCTGTATGACTGTGCTCTGTATGATTTCTGTCGAAGACCATTCTTGGATGCATGATCATTATTATAAATTCTAACTAAAAAGAATTTATGCTCCCTAAAGAATTATAAAATTGAGACAACGCAATACACTATAATATTACAGTAGAAGACATTAATTATCAACTGGTTTACAAGAGAACTTCGTCCTCAAATCAATAAAGTTTTTCTTTTGCTATGAATTTCTGAAGTACACAGGATTTTCTAGCAAAATAAATGAATAAATCTGCAATGTTGCAAGATAAATAGGAGACACATATCTAAGTAGAACCACTTACCAGATCAGCTGCCCCACGAGAATACCTTGTCCTTATGCCACCATCTAAAGTTCCTCCTTTTATGGTGTACTTCTAAAGTCTATCAACATGCACAGAATTTCCCACTGAAACGAATGAATAAATCTGAAATGTTGCTAGATAAATGGAAGACACATATCTAAGTAGAACTACTTATCAGATCAACTGCCTCACAAGAATACGTTGTCCTTATGCCTCCAGATAAAGTTACTCCTTTTATGGTGTATTTCCAAGATCCATCAACATGCACCGAATTCCCCACTGTAACAAATGAATAAATCTGAAATGTTGCTAGATAAATAGAATAGATATGTCTAAGTAGAACTAGTTATCAAATTAACTGCCTCACAAGAATATCTTGTCCTTATGCCTCCAACTAAAGTTCCTCCTTTTATGGTGTACTTCTAAAGTCCATCAACATACATAGAATTCTCCACTGAAACAAATGAATAAATCTGAAATGTTGCTAGATAAATAGAATAGATATGTCTAAGTGGAACTAGTTATCAAATTAACTGCCTCACAAGAATACCTTGTCCTTATGCCTCCAACTAAAGTTCCTCCTTTTATGGTGTACTTCTAAAGTCCATCAACATACATAGAATTCTCCACTGAAACAAATGAATAAATCTGAAATGTTGCTAGATAAATAGAATAGATATGTCTAAGTAGAACTAGTTATCAAATTAACTGCCTCACAAGAATACCTTGTCCTTATGCCTCCAGCTAAAGTTCCTCATTTTATGACGTACTCCTAAAGTCCTCCACAGAATTCTCCACTGAAACAAATGAATAAATCTGCAATATTGCTAGATAAACAGAATACATATGTCTAAGTGAAACTAGTTATCAGATTAACTGCCTCACAAGAATACCTTGTCCTTATGTCTCCAGCTAAAGTTCCTCATTTTATGACGTACTCCTAAAGTCCTCCACAGAATTCTCCACTGAAACAAATGAATAAATCTGCAATATTACTAGATAAACAGAATACATATGTCTAAGTAAAACTAGTTATCAGATTAACTGCCTCACAAGAATACCTTGTCCTTATGCCTCCAGATAAAGTTCCTCCTTTTATGACGTACTCCTAAAGTCCTCCACAGAATTCTCCACTGAAACAAATGAATAAATCTGCAATATTGCTAGATAAACAGAATACATATGTCTAAGTAGAACTACTTACCAGATCAACTACCTCACAAGAATACCTCGTCCCTATACCTCCTTTTATGATGTACATCTAAAGTTCTCTACAGAATTCTCCACTGGAACAAATGAATGAATCTGCAATGTTGCTAGATACACAGAATACATATGTCTAAGTAGAACTACTTACCAAATCAGCTGTCTCACAAGAATACCTTGCCCTTATGCCTCCAGCTAAAATTCCTCCTCCACGAATTTTCTGAAGCCCACCAACATACCCAGAATCTCCTACTGAAACAAGCAAAATAATTTGAAATTCCGCAGACCGTCAACTAATTAAAGAACGTATTGTCGCATCGCCAGATAACGTTCTTCGTCTGCGGCGTGTTCCTGAAGCACAACGACACCCCAGTAGTCCGCGCATCGGGCCGTGAGCTATCCTACATCCTCCTATGCGGAATCCTGCTCTGCTATCTCGTTACCTTCGCCCTGGTCCTGAGGCCGACGGACATCGTCTGTAGTATTCAAAGGTAAGAGAGATTAAAAGTGAGACAGTATCGCAGTCTCTTCTCGGCCATATTTCCTGTGGCGAGAGAACCCGCGACGATCCCCGTCGCAACGGAATAGTTCGAAAAATCCAATTCTCCGCGGAACGAGGCGCGGCGATATTAACTCGGAATGCAATACATGATCGATCGAGGTAAAGCTGATAAAGTCGAGAGACGAAATTTCATCGGGAAGTGAATTACGAGAGATTCAATTACCGGGAATCAGAAGAAGAATATAAAGTGGGGCACGGAATCCATTAGGAGTGGAGTTGCACATACCCTCCGGTCTTTTAAATGTCCCTCGGCTGCGGTCCCATGCACCTCGAGGATACACACAGACGGAGAGGCGGATTATTATTAACATATTCACAGACGGAACTTTTTCCCCGGATACCCCGAAGGCGGCCACGGTTATCTCCGATCTATCAGCCAACACCGCGAGATTCATTGGAACGGGGCTCGTCGTTTCGATTCGAGAGAATTCCTCTGAATCGAAACTCAAAGGGAACGAAGGGAGATTGTGCAGCTCGTTAACACCTCCGTTGCTCAGAATTACAACATTTCCCTTCTTTTATCAAGTTTATTACTCGACATTGGTACTTATTGCGTCTCTAATCTATTCCAATCTGTCCTGAGATCGTCGCTTCGATTATAAAAATTTGCTTCGTAATGAAACACGTTCTGGTCGAATTGTTGTTCGAGAAGGAATATAGTGGAGATGTTGTTTGATTTTATTACAACAGGGCGTATTTTAAAATATATATAAACAATATAGATATAAAATTGACGTAAATTACATACAATTAACTTTGAAATATTCGGTTTCGCGAATTTATTTAATTTTCTGTGAATGTTCTAATACTTTTAATGGGAAGTGTCCATACGTGCCACTATTGCACAGTGGTGGTAACTTCATTATCAACGAATTCCAATTAATGTCCGCGTCAGCAGTTCATGTTTAAACCGACAGAATAACGTTTACAGTGCTATCAGTGAATTCCAATTAATATCGCTAAAAAATAACAGTTAACGATTCATGTATAAAACTAAAAAATAGTTTTTCGGAGCAATCAGTGACGCGAACGCTTGGAATTTGTCCGAATAAATTGTCTAACAATTTCACGAATCTGAACCGCCGAGAAAACCTCGTTCATGTGAAACTAGAACTCGCTCTCGGCGTTGCGTAAAGTTTAATGCACCCGAACGGGATTTCCGATGATTCCGCCATAAAGATTCGTTTTTATCTGTAATGAAAACTCGAAATGAATTTATCGCCTCCGGGGATTTCGATCGGACCTCCGGGTTTCGATAAATCTTAATATCTCCGAAAAAAGATCCAAGTCCCCGGCGTTCCCCAAGCGTGGACCCTTGTCCCCACGACCACTCATCACGTTGTTCGACAGATTCGCCGCCGGTTTCTGTTTCACCGTGGTCTACGCGGCCCTCCTAACGAAGACAAATCGAATATCGAGGATCTTTAACGCCAGCAAACACAGCGCCAAGAGGCCATCGTTCATATCCCCGCGATCACAGCTGATCATCTGCTCCGGTCTGGTCTTCGTCCAGATCTTAATTAATGGTGTTTGGATTATAATCGACCCGGCGAGGGCGATGCATCATTATCCGACCAGGGAAGACAACTTGCTCGTCTGCAACAGCTACGTCGACGCCAGTTACATGATCGCCTTCGCTTATCCCATCATGTTGATCGTCGTCTGCACCGTCTACGCGGTGCTCACTAGAAAGATACCGGAAGCGTTCAACGAGAGCAAGCACATCGGTGAGCATGGCTGACGAATCATTCGATTTCGCAAATCCCTTGTTTGTCTAAAATTGCTGATCGTTGGACTGCGGATCTTTGGGCAAAATAAAAGATGTTTGCAACTGCAGCAAATTCTCTACAATTGTCCCTCAGCTTGGAAACGAAAATGGACAATTTGGGAAGAGGAGATACGATTATTCGATTTTTATTATATATATATTATATATATATATAATAATAATAATATATAATATAATAAAATATAATAAATATTATATAATATAATATATAATAATAATATATAATATAATAAAATATAATAAATATTATATAATATAATATATAATAATAATATATAATGAATATATATATATATATATATATATATATATAGTTTATAATATACAATCGGCAACTCCG